GTCTTGCTGGATTTGTCACGCATAGAGAGGACTGAAGGGATGTTGTAAACCATAGCAATGTTATAATATGTGCTGGGTTTGGGCTTAACAGAGCCACTGCTGTATCATTTACTGGACAGGATTTGATGCAGTGTTGGTTTCAGGACAAGCAGTACAGAACTAGCTGATACATGATTAATGTTTGACCTAAAGAAAACTAATATAAAGCGGTTGTAGGCATAGATTGTCAATTTGAATTCTACATCAGTAACTCTAAAGCAAAAACACAGTATTAGGGCGGCTCTAAAGAAGAAACTAATGTCACCAAACAAGAAATCATACACAAATAGGACAAAGCAAGTCTCTTTACTGATTATTCTCTCAATCTAGAGATACAAGAACCAAATGGGAGTAGTGCTGAGAGCTGGAAGGTCAGAGCCACTGGGCTCCTGCTAGAGACACTCCAAGGAATCTGGTCTAAGAGAACATCTGTATCACTAGTGTAGAGTGACAGCCCGAAGGTGAATCATGTGGATCCATTTTCTATTAGTCTTCACACAGAAATGCAGGTGGACTGGACCTTGTGCGCATCAGCTTTGGAAACTAGTCCTTAGTATGTGAAACGTGATGTGAACAGAAATGAAGCAGTCTGTTCACATTCACTCTCATGTGACACACGCTTCTCACTGCAACACATATGCAACCTACCTGTCTCTGTATGACAGTGGTTTTAAGTGGCTATAATAAATATTGTTTTATGGAATGTATCAAATGACTGTCAAATGCAAAAGAGGATTGTTATTTCACTGGTCCATTCCCTGATGTGTTGAGCTTGGTTTTCATTGTGGGGAGGTTGTGCTTTATTACTGTCTTACCTGTATTACATAACCTGGTCCTAATAATCAGCAACTAAGAATGAAATGTAGCTGTGCCGATTGCCTTAGGTAAAAGGCTGATGATTACAGTAGGCTGCCATTGTACTCTGCAGTTAGTGTGCCTTGATTGCAATAATAATTTTAACTTTCTTTCCAGGTTTTCTTGAGTTATATACAATAAAATGTTGGGGAGTTGAAGCTGAAATAGACATAGCTGCAGTTCTTTGGAAGCTGGGATGACAGCAGCTCACTGACATAGCCTGTTTCCATTTTTCATATTGCAGAAGAAATTAAAATTGCTAATAGTTGTCATGGGTGGCACATTTGTTGTAGATGTTGTGGTCTGGTTGAAGGGGCGGTGATGAAGGGAATAAAAAAAATGTAGAAATCCAGCAGAAATGACAACAGTGTGTTTCACACCTTGACAAATAACACCAGACAACATTTTTTAAAGTTTTGTTTTTTGCCTTTGGACCCTTTCAAAATGAACAAAAATCAAATTTCAGATTGACTGTATTATGCAGAAATTTTGGGAAGCATGAAATGAACTTTTATTGCTTGTATCATGATTAATTGCATAATGTTTTAGTAGTAGGTTCAGCAGTGCCCAACAATAGTTAACCACTACTGACTGATTCAGGTCGCTCTGATACTGTTTTTTTTTTTTATAAACTGTATACAAAATATCTTTACAGTCTACTGTATGTGGTTTCCATCATGACAATGTACTGACAAAGAAGTCCAAAACTTGAAGGTTGTGGCAATTCCTGCTTCTGTGTGTTGTGGTTTTTGAACATGTTTCTAGACTTCTAGACATGTTTCTGTGCTTAACTAACCAACAGCAGAAAGGAAAACGCTGGTCAGTTTTTATTAGCTTCCGTCCACTAAACAACACATTTTGGTGTTTGCTGATAGCTAAATCAATGTCATTAAGTCTGTAGCACTTTACTGAATATTGTAGGGTGACTGATGGAGAAGAATCTTGAGGCATTAAAGGACTTTTTAAACTTGTAGTTGTTGATGCGACACTGAATGACAATGGCTCCAAATGAGTGAAACAAAGCAAAGCAACATATTTCATACCAGATATGATAAATATTTTATTTCCAATCAGCAAAAGACACACAATTGATGCATTTGTATCTTTCATGACTTTTCAGTACAGAGGAAAAACCCAAACATATACACAGTATGGGTATATATGTATATGGGTATATTTTAAAGTGCAAGTGATTCACAAGGGTCAATCATGCGTTACAGAGCATCTGTATCAGGAACTTCAGTAATCCTAAATCCTTGAAAAGTTATTGAAACTAAAATAACTGTCACTTATATATAAATACAAAATAAACTCTACTAGTCACTGAAGCTATTTGAGTTTGCTTAAGCACAACAACACCTATCAGTTTATTTCAAGTCTTGAGAGGAAAGAGTACCATGAAGTGCCATAAGTGAGGGAGTCTTTAGTTTCTAGTATTGACAGGAGAAACAGTTTTACAAAACTCACCATAGGTCGGTTTAATAATACTCCGATACCACCTCAAGCAGCCTATACTCGAATTAAAATCTGAAACACAAGGAAATCAAAAGCCTTTTCTCACTTTTGTTTTTCTTAATAGCCTTCATGGGTCACTTAACTTGACCATGTCCTCTTCAAAACAGACATTCATTATACAGGTACATTCTCTGAAATTATCATTACATTTGACTTGGTGAGGAAACAGTCAATTTGCCCTTGCCAAATATCTTTGACATGACGAATGTTCATAGGAAATAAATATGAAGACGTGGATAGACGTTAAAATATTTCAATGCAAATGTGGACTGATGCTGAGCTCATTGTGTGTGGACAGATCAGAGCAGCCACAGTAGAAGGACATCTGCACAGCATCATACAGGGAAGTAACAGTTTAGCAGCAACTGCTGGGCTTTGGAGTTACCCATGGACAACAAAGATACAGACATATGTATCGATAGTACATGAAGAAGCCCTGACCCTTCAGAATGCAAAATATTCAAACTGATTTTCATTCACTGGGTAAATAAAACATGTCTCAATTGCACATGTGCTGAATGTTTCAATGCCCTTTATAGTGGTTAAGATGCAAAGTGCATATTTAACATAAAATAGTAAGCTAGAATATACTACAGTGTGACTATAGCTCGCAACTTCCCAAGTGATTCCTTCAAAACCGCTGTCCTTTCACACCAAATCACACACGCACACACAAAAAAAATCATATTCACAGAACAAAAGAAACACTGATTTACAAAAACCACAGAAACAGAAAGCGATACAAAGTAGCGATGCTGTCACACCGTCAGCGCAGTATGAGAGCACAAATGCTGCAGTTTTATTCACACAGCATCAGCTGGCACTGAATTAAGTAATGGTCAATTTCTGTGTTGCTGTGAATCCTTTGTGTGTGAGATTATTGCATAGTTTGGAATTCTTAATATAGCTATTAAATTGACACTGAAAAATAAAACATTTCTTTTTCTGGTCTTTGCTTCACTCTTAATAACCTAGGACAATATTAACAGTTCACTCTTTTGCAAACAGGACTGGGCTCAATTCCTTTCATGAAGTCAAAGTAGAAAAGTACAATGATATTCAACACAAGGTAAGCAGAACCTTTTCTGAACAATAATTCCTTATATTTTGTTATAAAACCATTTTTAAGATGGCCAATGTGCAAGTTTTGACTTAAGAAGGGAATTTCCTGACTCTGACTGCTTAACAGTGAACTGAACCAAGCCCTGGTTCCAAGTTAATCTCTATATTGCATTTTCCATGTGGACAAACGTTTTCAATTTACTCCCAAACAGAAACAAACTTAAGCCACAGATGATCTCAATGAAGGTAACGGTGCCAAACCACCATCTACCTACCAAGTATAGCTAAAACAAACACCAGCATGAACACCCTTCTCAGTGACCGTACGGACCTGCTGATTCAGAATGATTGTCTTGATCTCCGAAGGCCAAGAAACACAGAATCTGAAATGTTGTGTTATCTGCAAAAATGTCATCTGTTGTTGTTGGAAGGCGACTTGTATGTCTCTGAATATACACAAACTAACATGAGCTTCTTACTTTCTGAGACAGCCTAACTGTCTGAGCATCATTTTATTTAAATTCACCCCAACAAAAATAAAGCTAAGTAACTGCAGACTGTAACGTTCTGTACACACTTCGTAGCCTTCTCAGCCTTCAGGGTGGCCTCTAGGTAGAAGCAGTGCCACCATCCTGGAAGACGTTGCTCTCCTAAAGGCTCTGAAAGCATGTTTTCTTTATCAACTTCTCACTGTGAGAGACAGTTTTGGTTATATCACATGAAAGATGCTTGTCTGTGCTGGTTTAACTGAACTCTTCTCACAGGTTTGAAGTGAGTGGACATCAGCTGTTTGCTTATTTTGCTAGTCAGTGTCAATCAAACATAATCAAATCAAATCCACACAGTTCTGATTGAGCAGATTATTTGGGTTTTTAGTATTGATCCCCAAACGAAAACTATAAGTGGTTGTGAACATTTAATGTTATAGAAAAATATTTTTCTAACCAAGCATTATAGGTTAAAGACAAAAAAAGACTTTTCAGTGCGGACTCAGAGACATGACAACCTTTCTCTTCTTTAAACAGCAACCTAAAAAATAAATAACAACAGAAAAGTAACAAATGGGGTGAAGATAACACCCGACACCAGCTATGATTACAATTTATCTACATCTAGATTCCTTAGGGGCACAGAAGGGTGCAGAACCCTCAAAACCACAGTCGTGTGAGAGTGCCTGATGCTGGTGTTTGTTTTTCCTATACCTGCTCAAGCCTCAGTAATGTGCACTGAACAAGCACATCTGTTAGCCACAGTGACAACCTTTTTTTAAAACCAGAAAGTGTGTCAAAATGAAGCTATAGTTTTGTTGTGGTCCCTTTTAACACCCATCAAGTAGATCACCAGACGTGAATGAACAGCCTTGTTCCTCTATGGCCAGCACAGAGTCATGACATGGGTCCCATTCAGTCACCAGAGTGTCAGCTCACGTTTTTTTTTTTTGTTTTTTTTTTTTGCTTTTTTTTTTGTCATAGAACTCATGTTGAAATAGGAGCCATGACTGAACTGCTTTTTAAATCTGTAAAACTAATAAAAACTACAATAATGCATGAACATAAAAACATTAAATAATATAGTAGGAAAATAAATATCATTCCAACAAGGCTTTTGTTTTTTTTTTTAAATAGTCATTCTCGATCTTGACACTGGAAGCCAGTGTGTATGTCATGTGATTCACCTCAGAGAATGATGATCATCAGTCCAAGAAGATGGCTGCTCTCAGTCTCAGTGGTGAACGTGCTAATCAGCTCCTGCACATACACGACTGCTTCACACTCAACATGGAGACAGATTCCACTCAACATGGTCCCACATATAGAGCTCAACAGTCTTATGCATTACAAGTGTCTGGATACAAGATATGCAAAACTGACTTTTTTCTAATAGATAGACCTGGACAATCCTCGTGCAGGATAATGAATAGAAACACATGACCATGGCTACATCTGCCATTGGGAAAAAAAAAAAAATCACAAAACAATTATAAGTGCTATAGCTATACACTATTTTGGTATTTCATGAATAGCATTCAGGGCAGTTTGAAGGTTTTTGGTCAGTTTAAGGTAACCTCTCAAAGGTTCTCATGAAACCTCTACAGACCTCCCTCCGTGTGAGCACTCTCTTTTAGAGGGCTAGCTATGGCTGTCTCAGATAACTTACAGTACATTTAAGTGTTTGTGTCAGAAAATAGATATGAAACTCATTTCCACATCTCATGCTCACAATTTGACTCGTCTCATCGCTGAAATATTAGGAACTGGGAATCATTGGTAGATGCATCTATCGATGAACTAATAATAGTCCAGCTACTGATTTCTATTCATGAACAAATATCAGGATTATGACATTGTATGTTTGTCTTTTAAAGTACCGACTTGTGCTCTAGAAGCATGAACTACTACCTATGGTTGTTTCTTTTTTCTTTTTCTTTTTACTTGGTATCGAAAGACATCTTAAGGATTCATCACTGTTGGAGGAGGTGAAGAGGAGTGAACAGGACTATGTTGCACAGACGCAACAGCCACATGTTCAACACTAAGTGTGAGCAGACACATTTGAAAACAATCAATGAATGGGGGTGGGGGTTTCTCTCAAGTCTAAAATGTAGGATATATACTTTGACAACAATCAAACTCTGATATCGACTCTAGAGGTGTTCCGGCATTCCCTAGAGGTGCATATTTCTCTAACTTCCAGTCTAGTGGAGGAATGGGTTGTTATCACCCCTAGGGAATAGTGGAGCTTTCATGATGTTTTGAGGAGTGTGTGGAGTTTCTGAATCTGAGTGGAAGTTGGGAGCTGTCACTAGCAGAGCGCTTTTTGCCAAAATTACTGGCAGAGTCTCTGTTTCGCAGATTAGGCTGGATCTTGTACATATGGGGACCCATGGCCCAGCGCCAGCTCCCACGGCCCTCCACTCCAGTTGGGATAGCAGCAGCTGGCGGCACAGGCGCG